TGGCCTCTCTCCTTCTTGCTTTACAACTATCAGAACTAATCCTGAGGTCCTGCCCTGATGACTTTATGTAACCCTCTTCACACACACCCCCGAGGCCCGACCTGTAGGCACCACGGTGGCATCCGATTTCCATCCTGTTTATACCCGACAGCGGGATCATATAAATGGATCATCGCAGGAGTTTACAGCAATGCAAGCTGATTTAAGTACTTTCTGATCACGGCAAATAGAATTTTCAAGTTGGGTTCTCACAGTCTTCTGAATTTGTGCGGCTATCTCCATTTCGTGTGGACCATTGTTAATCTCTCCTTTTCATACAAACTTCAAAATACATTTGGCAATATTCACAAAACCAAATGTATTATTGATGGAGATTCAGTTCAGTGCATGGATCAAATTGAAAAGAGACACCTCCGTCCTAGTGACTTGCTACCCAGAAGCATGGAGTCGCTAAGTGTTTCTGCAGCTTAGTGCTGCTGGGAGCTGACCTGGGGGAGGGGTGGCCTATCTGCCCTCCTAATTTGACACGCATTTCAATAAAATAAGATTTGCATTCTTCTAGGCTATTTTGTAGTAGTGATGGCAGACAGGCAGAAAAATGCAGTTACCTCTGCTGAGGGCCCAAATCGAGCCTTTGCACCCCCAAACCGTACCCCCACCACCACAGTGTATCACGTGGTCCCAGCAACAAAAACCCGAGTAACACCCAATTTCACATCTATAATGGACACCTCAGCACTTCACCTCTCTTTGGGAGTAATGTAAGTGATGTTGTGGTTTTAAATTTTTATGTTCATTGATGATATGTAAAAAAGCAATTAAGTTTGAGTTGGGCATGGTAGAGCACTTCTGAAATGCCAGACTTCAGGAGGCTGAGCTGGGAGGATTGCAAGTTCTAGGCCAGCAGAGTTTACTCAGCAACATAGAGAGACTCTGGCTCCAAACAAAACCAAAGAGCTTTCAGTGTTTTTGTGTATGAACCATGTACTCTTAAGTAACCTCAGTGTCAGTAAACCACACAGAGACATGTTGAGTCCCTGTAGATATCTAGAGCCATTAGAAGCGTTGTATATGCTGCACTTGGTGGCCATACCTGGAATTCACCTTCAGGAGGCAGAGGCTAGCAGATTGCCAGGGGTTCTAAGCCAGCCTGGAGAACTCAGTGAGTTTTACAGGCCAATCTAGGCCACATAATGAAAGCCCATCTTAAAGAAAAAAAAAAAAAAAACGGCATTGGAAAACAGTATTAAATTTAGCATAAATGCCCTGTATGCCTTTCCCCTTCAGACTTAAGGGTCTCCGCACTCATAGTTTCTGTTTTTAGGCCTTGTCACTCTTTTCACATAGGTCTTCTTTCTCCTCAGTATTCAGTGGAGGTGCAGGACCCCTATGTGCTTGCTTTCCTCAGTCTACCCACAGCCATTGCGTGTCCCTCACAACCTGTAAAATGCTGTCTTTATCTTCAACTTTCTTTCTTTCTTTCTTTCTTTTTTTTTTTTTTTTTTTTTTTTTGTACAGGTAATAAAACTCAGGACCTTGCCCAGTCAGGCAGGTGCTTACACCTCTGACCTATACATTTTAATGAGTAATTGATCAGCTACTTCAAGCTGAGCTTTGAGGAATGCTGTTACACAAAGGACATTTTGTCCTCTGTAAATATGGATAATGGGGAGCTGGGCAGATGGCTCAGTAGAATAAGCGCTTCCCTGGCAAGCTCAAGGGCCTGAGTTCAGTCCCCGGTTCTAAAAACAAATATGGATAATGGTACAATTGGAAAGAGAAGAAAAATCTAGAGACTCATCCACACTGCATAAGAATTTTTAAGAGATGGGAGAGAATCCTAGGAAACATGAGGACTTCATTAAATGCACCCCAATGGGCTGGACTTCTGTCCAAAACTCTACTGTGGACCAGAGAATAGCTCCAGGGTTTTTTACAAGAGGCTGGGGTCTGCCTGATTGGTTGTGCAGAAAATGCCTGAGGCTTCCAGTGAAAGTATGGTTCCTTGGAAACAGGTATTTTTCATCAAGTATTGATATGTTAAACTTTAAGTCCCTACAGAATATGACCAAAAAATTTTAAAAATTAAAATATATTTTTAAAAATAGGAATAAACAATTACATATTTTTACACAGAAGTTTAGAAATCTAACCATATATAGCATTGTAGTAGGACAGTCCCACAACACCCCTTTTCCTGTCTCCTGCCTTCATTCACCACCCCCTTCCTTTTTAAACAAACATCTGCCCAAGAGACAGCACAGCAGCCACCGGTGTGTCATGACAAGCAGCACGTATTCAGAAGACCAGAGTGACAGACGCTCCAAGCATGAACCTACTATTACATAATGCCATCTTTAGTGCACTTGCTTAGTTCACAGGTATCAGCATATATAGTTAGTCAGGGTGAAAATCATACTGATTAACTGCTGGCTTCAAAAACCTTCTGAAGATTCTCTGGATCATTGCCTTACCCATCTTGTACATATAAATGTATGGAATTGTCCCTGTCCTGTTTCCCAGCTTTTTTCCTTGCTCTCTCTTCATTGTCTAATTCTCAAGTTCTCTCCTTTTAATTGTGTTATATCTTTCTATTTTTATTTCTTCTTTTGATTCTTATATTAGGGAGACTATACAATATTTACACATGTGGGTCTGGTTTATTTCACTTATGAGTACATCTTCAAGTGGCATCCACTTAAATATGAAGGCTTCAAGTTTATCATTATTCATAGTTGAGTAATAGTCCACTGTATAAAAATACCACATCTTTTTCATCCATTCCTCAGGTGTTGGGCATCTTGGTTGTTTCCAAGATTTGGCTATCACAAATTGTGCTGCTATAAACATAGGTACACATATATCCCTATGATATGATGTTTTCAGATCCTCCGGGAAAATTCCCAGTAGGGGACTAGCTGGTTTGAATGGGATTTCCAGTCCTAGTTTTTTAAGGAGCCTCCACATTGATTTGCATAGTGGTTGCACCAGTCTACATTCCCACCAGCAGTGGAGAACTTTTGAACCTGTGGGGACAGGAGGATGTCATAAAGTAGGATGTCGAGGATGCCATGGGGAGGTACATACAGGAATCTTTCTTTCAGAACCATTAGGGTCAGGGCAGGAAGATGGCTCAGTAGAATAAGTGCTTCCTTGGCAAAAAAAAAAAAAAAAAAAAAAAAAAAAAAAAAAAGAACAATCGGGGACATTCTTATCAGGAACAGAGCAGAGGTCAGCCTTCCGGAAAGCAGATCCTGGTGAGGACAGGCTGGCACAGGGCTCTGTTGGGCGGGCAAAGGTGTAACCTTACCTGTACCCTCCCACAGTCATGACTTTCAGGGAGGGGAATTCCCAGGAAAATATTGCTCAAGGCTGGTTTTCTTGTGAGTTCTGCTTTATTTAAGGAGTTCACATCTGCTAAGAGGCAGGATTCTCTCTCTTGGGGCTCAGAAAATACCTTCCACTGCCCAGCAAGCAGCACAGGTCAGCTGTGACATACAAGAAGAGAAAGATTCCTCAGTCCCTCAGGGCAACAGAGGAACCCAACACGGATACCTGGTAAGTGGGGAAACCTGAGGAATGGGATGCACTGGGAGATGGCTGGGAGGAGGAGGTCAGAGACGAAGGTCAGCATCTCAGGAG